CCCCATTGGGAATCTCCTGATCCTTCAGTATCCACACCTGGTCTCACTGCAGAGCACTCAGGACTCTGCTGTGGCCACCACAGTGGTTTCATACCAGCAAAAACAAAGTGAATTAAACCTAAGGAGAAAAAACTAGCTATACCAAGCAAATGTTAAACAACATAGACTTTTAGACCAAAAAAAAAAATTAGTAGAAAAGAAAAGATTAATAACATAATGATTAGAAAGGAAATTTTCACCAAGAAGATGGAATCCTGGTCCTGCGTACCTCTAAGACATAATTTCAAATTTTTCAAAGCAAAGACTGACAGGTTTACAAAGAGAAACTGACAAATCCAGAGTCTCATAGAAATTTTATACACCCCTCTCAGCAACAAATAACATAAGCAATCAATAAAGTATCTGATAAGAATCGCAAAACATTCCGCTAACAACTCCCAAATAATCCCCTGTGGAGAGCAGACTACATTCTGCCTTACAAAGAGGTTTCCTGGGAGAAAACTAAAAAACCACGGGATTCCACAGGGACCAGCCAATGAGGCCAGTTTCCCTTGTGCCTGAGAAAAAGGCAGGACTAGAAACAACCTAGGGGCTTAGGAAACAACGGTGGAGGGAAAGCCCAGAGCCCAGACTGATGCTGTGAAGAACAGCGACCACAGCACTTCTGAAGGCGGGTATCCAGAGGGTGGCCCAGACTTCAGGGAACGAAACCGCCAGACCCTCAGTGGAGCAGACAGCTCAGGGGAAGGCACTGGGCCTCCAGTTGCCCGATCATGTCTGCTATAAGTTTGATTAGAAAGGCTATACTGGGTGATCCGGATGGTCGGGCCAAGCTCTGCTTGGTCATCTGGGCAGTGCAAACTTTGCAGATCGGACTGAAGGTTCTTCCTGGGAACGAGAGACTTCCACCAGGTGGAGATTTGAGTTCTCAACACACACAGGCCTCCCTCTTTCCTTTCACCCCCAGCCAAACCCCTCGAATGCCTCCCTTTATAGCCAGGAAGAGGCTGATAGGCTGGAGAACAGGCTCTCAAGAGATGCTGAAATAACTAACTCAGCTGGGTTCACTCTGCAGTTAAGCCTCCCCGGGCTGCAGGGAGGTACATACCGCAGGATTTCAGAGGGAAGGTAGGGAGGACTGCGGTTTGGAGGCCCTCCCCCTCTACACACGCACTGTGTGTCTCCAAAGCCGGGTTGCAGGAAATGAGGGCAGAGAGATTAAACAACTGGTTTGGCCAGGGAACTGCACAGTGGAGATGAGAACTCCAGGCTCCCCAAGCCACTGCCGCTGTGTCACGCTGCTGCCTTACTTCCTGTTTTTCCACTCAAGCTAATCATGACATGAAATATTTGAAAACCAGTTACCAGGCTGAAGAATGCAGTATTCAGGTGGTGAAGGGCGTTATTTACAAAGAGCCAGGAGAACGCGGTCTACCCGTGAAACATCCATCCCCTGCATGTAAAAGAGATACGAACTACAGCTATCTGGGTGAATATCCTACTTAGTGTTGCGTTTGGCTGACAGTTTGATCACAGCTAGACCTGTTTGGAGTGAGGGATGCTAAAGCTCTGTTTTTGGTGTTAACTTTGCAACAAAACTCACCACTTAAAATAGCAAGAAATGAATCAGTCCATCAATCAACCAATCCAGAACCTATATGTTTTTGCCCAAGTCTTAAAATATGTATTTATTTATAATTTGAACAGCATGCAGTGGAAATAAGGTGCTTTCTAAGAACTAAAGCATTTTATTCTTCTTGTAAATAGCTAAGCTAGAAGCATTCATTACAGCAAATGGCTTGTTCTGCCATATACTCATTCGTCATGTGTTCTTTTGTGATGTTGGTTCATTTTTTTTTATGCTCTACAGCAGGGATTGGTAAACTTTCTCTGTCAAGGGCCAGATAGAACATACTTTCAGCTTTATGATCCAGGCTCTCCCTGTGCGATGACTCACCTCTGCCTCTATAACAAGAGGGCAGCCCTGGGAGGGAGGTAAGCAAGGGGGAACGCAGCTGGCCTGGGACTTGGCCCCAGGCTACAGGTGCTAGGTTCCTGCTGGGCAGCGAAAACCGGGCTGTGTGGCCAGTAGAGTTCACGGGCGAAATGTCCAGCCTATACTTGGTGCAACTAAACATCCTTCATCTGTGCTCTTCATAACCTAACGTACTTGGATGCCTGTCTCACCAAGGAGAGGATGAGCCTGTTGGATGACAGGAAAGTGCTTCGTGATCGGATATTCTCCCGAACTTCACACCAGAAAACGCGTCCCAGAGGCAAGAGTGTGGGTTTGACTTTATCCCTTCCCCCATGCCCACCCCTTTGGTAACCATGAGTTTGTTTTCTATGTCTGTGAGTCTGTTTCTGTTTTGTAAGTAAGTTCACTTGTATCATTTTTTTTTACATTCCACGGATAAGTGATAACATATGATGTTTGCTTTCTCTGACTGACTTCACTCAGTATGATCATCTCTGGGTCCATCCATGTTGCTGCAAGTGGCATTATTTCAATCTTTTTATGGCTGAGCAATATTCCATTGTATATATGTACCACATCTTCTTTATCCATTCCTCTGTCGATGGACATTTATGTTGATTTACATTCACATTGTTGTACTGAATACAACAGATCTTTAGAATGTTTTCATCTGGCAAGACGAAAACCCTGCCACCATTAAACAATACCCCCTTACCCTCCTCCACCACCATTCTTCCTCTCCTTATGGATTTGACTTATTTAGGTAAGTGGACTCATACAGTATTTGTTTTATTGTGACTGGCTTATTGCAATTTGCATAATGTCCACAAGGTTCATCCTTTTTGCAGCATGTGACAAGGTTTCTTTCTTTTTTAAGGCCAAATAATATTCCTTTGTGTGTAGAGACCATATTTTGTTTATCCATTCTTCTATCCCATTGATCCATCCACGGACACTTAGGTTGCTTTCACCTTTTGGCTATTGTAAATGATGCTGCTATAAACACGGGTGTACGAATATCTCTTCAAGACTGTGCTTTCAATTCTTTTGGGTATATACTCAGAAGCAGAACTGCTGAATTAGATGATCATTCTGTTTTTTGTTCTTGTTTTTTTTTGGTGATCGGGATAGGTAAAGTAATTTTATTACAAATTTCAGGATTTAAAAAGTAATCTGTTACATTTACTAGGATAATCTGGGATGACCTGTCTCAAGCACATGTCCCGTCAGTGACACTGACCTCAGGCATGAAGAGACGCTGTCCCCCGTGAGGGATGCGGTCAGTGGATGAGGCTACGCTGAGTCTCCACGGGCACGTGCTGACCGTGATCATTATGGTTTGTCACGCTGGCATTTGGGCTGTGATGAGCTCAGTGTAAGCTTCAGTTATGGAATTCTGAAAGCCAAGCTAGAGAACCTCAGGGCAGCCTCTCTTTCCTGCTTTTTACTTCAGTGATATTTAGGAGACTTCGTGTACTGAATGAGAGATATGATTCACTGGCCTGTAAGCCCACGTGTGGAAACCGTTGTCACCTGGCAAGAGACCGCCGAGGAGCAGCCTGACTGGGAAGAAGGAATCACGCTAGTCCAGGCCACGGACAGCGACGCCCAGCAAGAGAGACGCTGCCGGCCGGCGAGTCCCCGTCGGCTCAAGGGCGCCCACAGACAAAAGGGCTGGAAGCAACCTCGATAGGCCAGCTAAGCCACCCTCCAGCTTCCAAACGCGGAGACAAACTTGCCCCACGGTCACGAGCAGGGACCCTGGGTCTCTTCCGTCTTGTACGTTTAAAGACTAAAGGCAGCATCTTTACAAGGGAAACTGCGGGAAGCATTGGGAGAGCCCTCTGCACAGGGCCTCGGGGCACCCCGGGGTGAGGCGGCTGAGACCCGGCAGAGCACCTGGGCTGCGGGACTGAGGGTGGGAAGAACAGAGCAGCTGAGAGACCCCAGGCAGGAGTGCGCCAAGCCGAGGGCCCCGCAGCCACGCCCTCGTGCCTGGTGTCTGCCCCCCAGGCCCCCCCCCCCACGGGGACCCTCTCGCTCTGAGACTGTGGCTCTCGTGGAACGACGTTGTCCCCGGGGGACGTTTGGCAACACGGGGAGATAACGTGGGGTGGGGCTGTCACCACTGGGGAGGGCGCTACGGGGCTGGTGGGCGGAGGTTGCGTACCCTACAGGGCACAGGGCACAGGCGCCCAGGCCCGGGGACTCCAATCAGACCACCGTGCGCAGCCTCCAGCTCAAGCCCTAACACGTGGGTCGGCGCCCTGCCCTGCGGACCCAAGTCCTCCTGACCCCGGAATGTCCAAGGGCTGTCCAGCCAGCTCCGGGCCGCTCCAGTGTGGTCGACACGACTAAAACCTTGCGCCTTTTTGTCTTCTCTCTCCGAGAAATCCACTTCCTTCTCAGAGCCACCGCCACCCCAACTGCCACCGCCAGGATGGCAACGGCAGCTGCCCCTCCGCCGAGCGGGAGGGACTTGTCCTCGGGCGGCGGGCCAGCTTTGTCGTGGCCACCGGGCAGGGCCCCGCCCGCGGGCCGCCCGCTGTCCGCCCGCCCGGCGGGGCTGCTGGGGGCTCCACCGGGGGCTTTGCTCCCGTTCGGCAGCTTCGGACGCGGCCGCTCCCAACTCTTCAGCAAGTTCCGCGGACAGAGATGTGGGGCCGGCTGTCTGGCCGGCGGCCCCTCGGGGCCGGGCTCCCCGGCCGCCGCCTCCGCGCCCTCGGGCACCCCCTCCGGCTCCACATGCGCGAGGTCCGAGGTGGAGGACTTGCTCTCGCTCTTCTCTCCGGCCCCGTTGCTGTCCAAGCTCTCGACTGCTGCCAGGACTCGGGACCCGGGGACACCGGTGGGCTCTCGGTGCGCCAGCTCTGGCTGCTGGACAGCGACACGGGGAAGCCCTCGGCCCGCCAGGACGCCGTCGCGGGCGTCGGAGCCTCGGCGGGGCTGGCGAGCGTGGAGCCGCCCCTGGGCTGGACGTGGATGTCGTTGCTGTGCTCCGCGGACTCCAGGTTAAAGGAGGTTAAAGGCAGTGCCCTAGCCACCCTGCTACCTGATGCGCTCGGCGGCGTGGTCCTCCGGGAGAGTCGCACCAAACTGCAGCGATGCGCTGCAAGGCTCCTGAGCTCACCTTGTCAACCCCAAGAGCATCGGTCGTAGCAAAATCGGAGGCACCAACCTCTTATTCCGGCCGCTGGCGTGAACTGCGGTCTCCAGTGTACATTCCCGACGTGCCTGGTACGCCCCTGGCCTGTGTGCTCCCTGCAGCTCTGCTTGCCTGCAGCAGTCCCTTCACTTCTTTTCCTGAACTGTCTGCCGCTGCTGTGCGCCGCGGAGTCCTCACGGGGGTCTGTCTACCAGGCTGAAGAGCTTTAGCATCCGGCTGAGGGGCGTCTGCAAGGCCCCGCGCAGAGGCGCCCTCTGCTCCTGCGACGCCTTCTCCCCAGGTGGGCCAAGCGGTCCTCTGCGGAACTGTCGGGGTTTGTGGGGCTGAAGGCGGACAGAGAGTACTGGGTGAAGCCTGTGCTGGCGAAGGCTTCAGAAATTTCTTCGTCCGGGGATTTTAGCTCTTCAATTTCAGTTTTACCTTTTAATAAAATTTCTTGATCCAGAGATTGTGAGGCCATATCTTGTCGAACCCCTTGGGGTGAGGAAAGATGCTCCCGCAGCTCCTCCTGAGAGAGGACTCCCAAGTAGCCGAGGACGGCACACTTTGTTTCATCGTGAGCCCCCAGAGGCACAGTGGGAGAGGACGCCATGGGGTCGGCTGGCAGAGCTCTGGAACGGTCTGCTTGCAGATGTGTAAAACCTGGCCCAGGCCCCTGCCCCCGAAGAGGTGAAAGACGCAGCGGTGGCAGATAACTGTTTTTAATTTTTTTTTAAGGCGCCACCCTACTGTTTTCCACAGCAGCTGCACCACTTTGTATTCCTACCAGGATGTCGCCACATCCTCCCCAGCACTTGCTGTTTTCTGGGGTTTTGTTTTGTTTTCGTTTTTTGATAGCACCTTTCTAGTGGGTATGAGGTGGTATCCCACTGTGGTTTTGATTTGCTTTTTCCTAATGAATAGTGATGTTGAGCATCTTTCCATGTGCTTGTTGGCAGTAGCACAGATTTTATTTAAGCTCGTTTGTTTGATTATAACTTTTTAACTATTTGGACATACAGCACATGGGCCTCCAACTGAAATCTTGCCTTGAACCCTGCAAACGTTAGGGGCAGACCTGAGTCCAACCCATCCCAAAGCCTTTTACCACCTAGTCAGGTATGGATTGACCCTTGAAAATATTCAGGAGAGCAGGCATTAGACAGAGACAGCTGATTCTATTAAAGAATTTTGTTTTAGCTGAAGAAGAGAAAACTAAGAAGGGTCTACCTTATCCAGCACCTTGTGTAAGGCGTGCAGGTCCCACACCTCCAAGTGCAGTGCCTAAACCAGCAGGTCAGCATCACCTAGGGAGTGGTAGACACACAGATGCTCTAGCCCCACTCCAGGTAGACTAACCATGAGCTGTCCAAGCTCTGACGTTTGAGACGCACTGCTCTGTGTGTTCACGAGGGTACCAGGAAGACTAAAAACAAACAAGTTGAGCAACACCATCAGTGACCTTACTGAGCACTCACTGTGCACCAAGAACTGAACGGATGCTTTTCATGTATTATCATAACATAGGTAAACACTTTACAGAAAACTGAGGCTTAGAAATGTTACTTGCCCCACGTCATGGCTAGTAAGCAGTGGAGCCAGGATTTAAACCCGAGCTGTCTGAAAATAGAATCTGATGAACTTCACATCCTATTTCATCTCGTAAAGGAACCAAAGGATTAAAGGGAACAGATAAATAATGATGGAATAAATAAATGAACCGTCGTAAATGGAAATCTTAAGTTCAGGAGTTAATCACTGCGGGCTGGCGTGGCTTTCCCCCCAGTTCTGAAGCTTCCTCCTAAGTGGAGAACAGAGGGGACCCCTTGTCTGTGGTGGAGCCCAGGCACTTCCGAGGCCCTGGACCTCCAGCGCCCACCCCTCTCCAGAGAGCTCGGGCTCATCAGCGCCCCCTGCAGGAAGGTTCGGAGGCAGGTCAGGCTGCGTGGCCGGTCTGTCCCTGTGGGTTCGGGGTTCCGAAGCCCACTCTTCACAGACAGACCAGCTGATGTTTGGAGCTCCCGCCTGCCTTACTCTTCCTCACATTCCTCTGTCGTTTCAGAACTTGGTCTGAGAAGGGAGGGTGCATTTTTTCAGGCTCCCTCACACTACAGCATGCACCATTTAAATCATTTGTTTATCTTAAATAATATTTTTTATTTGTTGGTACCTGCTTCTGCTCATTTTCAAAAAGGACTTCCCCAACAGAAAAAAGAATTTAAGTTTTGCAGCAAATATAGGTACATATAATATTTATGTTAATATTTATTTTTAATATATGTTTAAATAATACTGATCCTGTAATATTTTATTTTAAATAATAGTTCAAATAAGTCAATGTTTAATGTAACATAAATACTTACGTAATATAATCTGAAGAGTTTCATGAAATTTCAAAATATTAAAGCTCGCTAAACCAGTGACTCAACTGTGTTTCTCCACAAGGCTCTTCCAAGGACGATGCTCAAGAAAGATACCAGCATCTGGTCACAGGGCCAGGCCCCCCGGCTCCCTTCAGCTTAAGGTAAGTTGCCACACATGGTGGTAACTCATCTCTATTCCCATCCACACGAGGAATTTGGGTGCTTTTGAAGATGATGTAGCAGGTACTGCCTGTCATTTTTGTGTGTAAATTACCTATGGAACATGGGCTTGAAGGGCTGATACAAACTGAAAACCAGTTTATTTGGGCTGCACCTGCTTAGCAATCCAGTGATGGGGGAGGCTTGTTCCATGGTCATGACTGCAGTTCTCAGGGTGTCTCAAGTGTATGGAACAGAGGTTCCAGCCCCAGCATTTGACGGTAGGAAGCAAGCAAGCAGTGATGAAGACAGCATTCCAGGCTTTATTTGTTTGCTTACTGACCGTTGAGATGAAAGGGCATGATATAGCTAGTATTTCTTGCAGCTGAAATGAGCACAAGCCAGGTGTCTTTCGACACCTGAAGCACTGGGAGGGTGTCAGTTTGGTTGGAACAGTGGTCATCAAACCCTGATGGTCCCAGAGCCGAGAGCAGAGGTCACACTGCCAATAAGGAAATGTTGAAAGGATCAGTGAGAACACCCTGCATGGCCTTATTTTTCTCCCGGGTGTTACAGAGACGAGAAAGTTGGGTCTGAGAGAATGGAATGTCCTGGTGCCCATGGAGGCTGCGATGTGCTGTGTACCATCAGAGACACAATCTCACTGCAGTCTTGAGATGTCAGGGGAGAAACTTCATGTGATCCTGCTGAGCTTACAGAGTACAGATGGAGAGAAAGACTAAAAGTAAGCAATGAACAGGTAGGGGGAAAGCCTCCAAAGGATCCTTCCTTATAGATAATCAGGTCGGGGGAGCGGGGGCTACCTCTCACTGTAGCTGAATTCCCTGGACACACTTAGTCCCAGACCACTCAGAATGCTCTGGGCCACAGTCTCTTTCAGACAAGCCACCAGCAACGGCTGAGAAAGACAGACTAATCCCCATATTAGCTGGCGTGGAGGTAATGAGCAATCGGCCTGAGGGAGGATGCATCAAATGTAAATGATTTTCGGAATAGCCGTGCCCTGTTCCCTTTCTCCAGCTGCAGGCTGACAGCATCCAGTCAACTTCCAGTCAATGTTCCATCTGTGAACATTGCTTCTGGCAGAGACCTGGCCCCCGGCAACAGTGCTTCCTGCTTACTGAACACCCTGGCACTTCTATCCACCTTGTTTCAGCTTCGTCACACTCTGCAAGGTAGGTTTTATGTCCATTCAAGAAATGGAGACAGTGAGCCCCTGAGAGCTTTGGAAAGCGACGGCAGTCGCAGGAGAAGAGCCCAGGTCGAAGCCCAAGGCTGTTGATGCCAAAGCTCGTGCACCTTCACCTCCTGCTTTGCTGGCTGTCACAGGGCGAGGCTGACTTTGGACAGGACATGTGACCCAGGTGAGTGCCTATCAGCTACCCATTAATCCTTCAAAAGAGAATTTCGGTCTCAAGTTATGAAAATTGTGTGAGGAACACCTGAATAGACCTCGTTTGTGAAATGTATATAACTTGGAGAGAACGAAGACGAAGGAATGGGTTTTCTCGTCTTGAGCAGAATCAGGCCAATAACTTGATTTCCTTCCCAGAGAGTTTCCATCACTTCCCTGGCCCAGAGCAGAGCCATCTCCCACCCTCTGGCCGCAGAAGTGTCCCCAGCTCAGGTCAACCAGCTGCCTTGATAGAACCAGCTCTACTGAGTTTCTGCTGGTCCTCAGTTTCCCCAGAATTTCTGTTCCTAAAGGGCTTTGGGGCAGCAGTATTATCTGAAAGAGGCTGTTGAAACTCCAGTGTTACGGCATTTTGCATAAAATGGAAGCAGCGTGATCGTCTACATCAAAGGAGGGTGGGAGCCCCAGACCTCCCAGCTGGAGGCCTCTGCTCTCACCTCTGCTCCTTTCCTCTGCCCACTGCTCTGTGTCCTCCCTGGGGGCCCCTGTCCCTCTCGTCCAGCTGTTTACGCTCTCAGACTTAAGAAGTCAAAGGAAAATGAGGTCAGAGTTCACGAGCACCTCCAGGCTCCACCGCGGCCCCAGCTCTGGTTTTTTTTCTGGAACACAGATGGCTCAGCCGGTGGTGATGGACAAAACCTCAAGGAAGGGGTCTGTGTTGCCTGTGCGTCTCCTCCCACTCTGCAGGGGGGTCTTAAGTTTCGATCATCGCTGAGCTACATGATTTCATTATCAGACTGTCGTGGACACAGGCTAAGGGCACTCAGACTGTGCTCCCGGCTCCCCCCAGCGGCCCCCTCCTGTCCCCTTCGGCTCGTACACGAGGAGGGGAGAGGCTGGTCCAGAACCCCCTGCACCACCGCCACTGTGGCAGGGCTGAGCCGCCACCTCCTAGCAGCCCTGCAGCCTCGGACAAGCACTGAGCCTCCAGGCCTAGGTGACCCTGGCGTCAGGGGGGGGCATTCATCTCAGAGATGGGAGTTGTGAGGAATCCTGCAAGGTGCTCAGCTCAGCACTGGCTCCATCAGTGACCGTCTCCCGTTTCTCCCAAACTCGGACAAGCACTGAGCCTCCAGGCCTAGGTGACCCTGGCGTCAGGGGGGGGCATTCATCTCAGAGATGGGAGTTGTGAGGAATCCTGCAAGGTGCTCAGCTCAGCACTGGCTCCATCAGTGACCGTCTCCCGTTTCTCCCAAACGGCCCTTTTCGAATGTCTGCTGCCAAGAGGCCCGAGAGTCATGGTGTCCGGATTTAATACACGCTGACACCATCTGGGAAAGGGTTAGAGCCTGAGCTTGCTTCCACAGCTGACCTCTGCCGGGACCCCACAGAGATGCAGGCTCCTGGGGGCCAGCCTCACGCAGACGAACATCTTCAGTTCCGTCCGCATCATTCAGTTCCGTCCACGTTATCCGGCCCCATGCAAGCCCTTCTCTCACCTCCTTGACCCTGAGGTCCCTCTGTGCGAGTGCGAAGTTCTTCATCCTTTGATTAGAGATCATGCTTCATTCGTAAAATTTCCGTTTCTGCGCCCACCCTCTGCCCTCTGCCCCAGCACTGTGAACCCAGATGGCCGTTTCTTTTTTCCTAAAACGAGCCTCATTCCCACTGTTGTAAATGCAGGGCAGGTAGAAGGCTTGGGGCGGGGCTGTGTGC